CCCCTGAACACATTCTCACACACCTGTACATGTTCTCACACCTGTACAAGTTCTCACACCTGTACACGTTCTCACACACCTGTACACGTTCTCACACCTGTACAAGTTCTCACACCTGTACACGTTCTCACACCCCTGAACACGTTCTCACACACCTGTACACGTTCTCACACCTGTACAAGTTCTCACACCCCTGAACACATTCTCACACACCTGTACACGTTCTCACACCTGTACAAGTTCTCACACCTGTACACGTTCTCACACACCTGTACACGTTCTCACACCTGTACAAGTTCTCACACCCCTGTACACGTTCTCACGCCCCTGTACACGTTCTCACACCCCTGAACACGTTCTCACACCCCTATACACGTTCTCACACACCTGTACATGTTCTCACACCCCCCGTACATGTTCTCACACCCCTGAACACGTTCTCACACACCTGTACACGTTCTCACACCCCTGTACACTTTCTCACACCCCTGAACACGTTCTCACACCTGTACAAGTTCTCACACCCCTGTACACGTTCTCACACCCCTGAACACGTTCTCACACCCCTGTACACGTTCTCACACCCCTGTACACATTCTCACACCCCTGTACACATTCTCACACCTGTACATGTCCTCACACACCTGTACACATTCTCACACACCTGTACATGTTCTCACACCCCTGTACACGTTCTCACACACCTGTACATGTTCTCATCCACCCAGCACGATAGATGTGCATGGACAGTGTCTAGGAATGTGACCACCCGTCAAACCTTAAAGAGAGAACCACCAGACTTAGGTCTGAACTAATAGAAAACAGCATTGGGAAGGAGAGGCAAGCAGCTGTAAGTTGGGATTTTAAAGAGACCGTAGAGGGCCAGGTGTGGCTGTGCATGAAGCCACAACAGTTGGTCGGTGTGGCAGGAGAATCAAGAGTTCAGTGTCATCCTTGGTTACATAGGAAGCTTGAAACCAGCCAGTCTCTATCTCAAAAACTAACCATAGAACGCTGCCCTAGACAGCTTGAACAAAGACATTCCCTTGAGACTATGAGACTCCATTTCCTGTCACTAAAACCCCCTACCTAAACTCAAACAGGTAATAGCTGACAAAACACAAAGCCTTGTTCAAGTAATACATCACTCTAACACAGGCTGCTTGCCCGAGTCACCTGCATTACTGGTGGGGAAGATAAGGCCTGCCCACTGACTGGCTCAGTCTGTGCAAAGGGCCACGATGACATCGTAATGCCCAGACCAAGATGGAGAGCGAGTTCCCCCATGAACTAGGAAGAGTCTAAGATGGAGCTGGAAGGCAGACACAGACCTTTCTCTTCTCTGCCTGCTTCTCCGTGGGTACCATCAGTGTCGCTGTCACGGAGGTGGGGAGTGGAAATGAAGAGGTAGCTAATAGTCCCAAAAGTCGCCACTCCGAGTCTCTGTGTGTTTCCAGCCCAATTGCTTGCTCTATTCAAGAGGTCTGCTATGCACTCTGGACTGACCCGGCATTTCTACAGCCATAGCTATTAAAATTGTTCTTCAGGGTGTGACCTGACTTTTGTGGCTTTATCTTGTTCCAAATAAAACTATGGTCATTGGCCATCCATTTTCTCATGGACATCGTTCTCACAGATGCCCTTGGTGCTGGTGACATCAGATCTATATCTGAATTGCCTTCTTGTGCAAGTCCTTTTTGCTTTAAAGCCTTCTAGAATCCTCTGCGCCATCACTGAGAACTCGGCACCCCAGTCAGTGGAGCTTTCTTGGAGATGCAGGTGTCTTTAGGTGGGGGTTGTTTATGAGTCTGTACAAAATGTCTTCACTCTCATTCCTAGGTCTCCACATGCCTTCCAGCAAAGTCAAGGGTCAAGGGTCAAAATTCTTATATTCTCAACCTCAAGCCTCTGTCTACACAGTGTGTGTTCATTGGAAAGGAGGTCTTAGAAGCATTCTTCCTTGGAGGTGTTCTATTTGGACTTGACTTCCAGTTCTGTCCCTCATTTGCTGTCTAGCTTTGGTAGGTCATAGTGTTCTAGATACCAGTTTCCGCATCATGAGAGTCAAAGGAAATGATGTGTAAAAATGCTTGATTCAGTCCAGTTCTTCCAGGACAAACAGTCCCCTACAGGGCTTGTTGAAGCAGGGGGTCTCTGACACACTGAGCCTAAGAGCCGACATTTCCAGCAAGAATTGATTGAGTGCACACAGTGCCCTGTGCCGAGAGACACCCTTCTTGTAGTGCAGGACAGTGAGCAGCCAGCCAGCGGAAACCACCCAAACATCCCACTTCACCCAGGTAGTGTTTCCTGACCCCAGATAAGCACCAGCTCCAGCGCTTGCTTAAAAACAAACCAGAGCAGACGAACAGGCCTCTGTCCAGACTCCGGCAACTGGATGTCCCAGGGGAGAGAGCTGGTAATCCTCACGGTGATGGACCTCTGGGATAGAGTGCTCCTCCGCTGGGCAGAGGAACACTGCAGGCCCACATCTCATTCTGTTGGCAACAACTGTGTGTGGGCGGAAGCAACCCGTGTCCTTTCCACATAGGAATGTGACTATGGAGCCACTCCAGGGTTTCCCTGAGGAAGAGGCCTCCTGCAGCCTGCGAATGAAGACCTCCTGAGGCTGGAAGCGAGACTCTCTGAAACGTGTGTGTGTGTGTGTGTGTGTGTGTGTGTGTGTGTGTGTGTTTGTAGCTGGGGAAAGTATCTCAGAAGCAGGCAGGCTAAGGGGGACTTCCTAGGAGGAGCCTTACTGCTGGCACAGGAGAAACTGCCCAAAGCAAGACCTATTCACAGTAGCCCTCACAGAAGAAACCAGGAACATATATCAGACTCACCTGGGAGGCCTCGTAACTCCTCTACCTAAGGCTGAGCATCAGCCCTCACCCATTGCCCAGAAACACAAGGGTGGACACATCTGCAGGGGTCCAACGCTGCGTGGACAATCGCTATGCACAACACTGGCTAAGAAGCCAGGCTAAAAGGAGGGCCTCACACCCCGGAACGCCTGATGCCTCCCATCAGCACCCGGGTAAGACAAGTCCCATTTCCACAAGAACTCTCACTTTAAGTGAAACTATGAAGTCATGTTTGGCTGCATCTTTAAAACCTGTTTTGGAAAAGTTGCTCAACACCACTAATGATTAGAAAGATGCAAATCCAAACCACAGGGAGATACCACCTCACACCCATTAGGATGGCAGTAACAAACAAACGAAGAAGGAAGTGGGGAGTGGCAAAGGTGGGAAAACATCAGCCCCCATGCACTGCTGGCAGAACGGAAAGAGGGGCCATGTCTATAGAAAGTAGCTAGGCAGTGGGCCAAAAATTAAACATAGACTCGACGTATGCATTTGCAATTCCATCATTCATTTTTCCGTGTGTGTGTGTGTGTGTGTGTGTGTGTGTGTGTGAGAGAGAGAGAGAGAGAGAGAGAGAGAGAGAGAGAGAGAGAGAGAGGAAAGCAGGCTCTTAGGCATTTGCAGCACCAAAGGTATCCCATCCACAGATGGGTAAGTACACAGTAGGCACGGGCAATGAAACACACTTCTTGTAAGCTGGGGGAAATTCTGGTGCATCCTACGATGTGAACAAATCTTAAGGACGTTATGTAAATGAAATATATGAGGCACAAAAAGATGTTGTATTATTATACTTATAGGAAGGAAAAAAAACAAAATGGGAGTAAAATCCATAAAAAGGAAGATGAATAGAAGTTTCCCAGATACTAAGGAAGGGGGTAAAGGAATGGAGAGATGTTGTTGAATGGATTAATAGTCCAGTTTTGCAAGATGAGAAACTCTGGAGGCCAGATCCACAACTTTGGGAGTGTGTGTAACATCACGCCATAGCACGGCGTAGAACTAAGATGGTACATCTTATACTGTGTGTGTTTTATCAGGATTCACGAAGAGAAGCACAGCACTGAAAGAAAAACTTGACACAGTGTGGAAATGATGAGATTCACTCACAGTGCGGCGCTTTTTGTTGTTTTGTTTTGTTTTTCTGAACCAAATGTTTACGTCAGGGCTGGCAAGCAGAGACACTGAGCCTTTGTGTTTTCAAAACATCTCCAACAAAGGTGCAGAACACTCAGAGGACATGAGTGTTCCTTTCCCAAACACAGAAAGAACCCACTAGGGGACCATTGCAAGGGAGGAAAGTGGGCCACAGGACTCCCAGGTGCTCACTGGACACGGCTCGTGTGGTGCTTTCGACTCCTATGAATGTGGTTCATTTGTTCCCCTTTCTTCTCTCCTCATAGTGGCCAGGCTCTCAGCTATGGAAGCGCAGAGCGGGCAGGAGTCCAGGAGGCAGAAGAAGTAAGACTAGAAAGAGAAAACTAGGGGCGGAAGTGGCTGCACATCCCCAGGGCTGGCAAAGGAGTCTCTAAATGGACAAACTTCATCTGGGCCTGGAGCTGGGAGCCGCTCACAGGAGACCCTGACTGTAATCGCCTCTCCTTTACAACCCTGGCCGACCCACGGTAGGGAATGAGCAAATGACAGTTTGCACCATACCACAGTGGGGCTACATTTCCAAGAAGGGTATCTCTACCCCGGCTTGTCTTTGCCCAGCTGGCCTCCAGGGAAGTCTAGCTCCTTGTCTGAGGCCGCTTTGGGAGGCTGTATCTACCCATTTGTATGCCTCTTCTAAGCAACTATGGACCTTTTTTGTTATGGAAAAACTAAACCAGGCCTAATTTCTGATCAACTTCACCTTTCAGGCTCACTCAGGGAAGACAAAATCCATTAAATGCCCCTGCTCTCCTGTGAGAGGCACGGAACCCCCATCGCAGTGAGATGGGAGTTCTTGAGGGGACAGACACGCTGATGTGGATCAGTGTCTGGCTTATTGACGGTGCTTAATAAATATTCGATCATAGCAATCTTAATTACTGGATTACATCATGTCTGTCTTAGGGTAAGAGATAAATAAATAATGCCACCATAATAACGAGGCACTCATGGAAGGCTGCTCAGTTTCAGCTCCCACCACTACACAGGAGGTTTTTAATAAATTTGGGTGGATTTCATATTTCATAAAGAGGTATCTCTCTGCTCACTGCAGGTGAACATTTCTGAAGATAAGACTTATTTAGTATTAATAAGTGCAGAGCTTCCTGGTTGCCTGTTTTACATCCTCATGTTCAACTCAACATAGGTCATAGGAGTTCGCCGCCAATGCCAAGGAAGGTGATTAAGTGCGCTACAGTATCCGTACTGCAGGGGGCGAAAGTGAGCAAATGACATTGTAGACTAAGCCAGGTCCTCTTCAGACAGAGCCCCAAACTCAGACATCTTCCAGCAGCATTCCAGAAGGTTCTGTATAAGAAGAAAAAGAGCAATGGTCAGCAGTAAGGACAGACCCTGCCCAGTCTAAAGGAGTGGCCTTACAAAGCTCCAATGGCCCTCTGCAGGAATAACACCCAGAGGTGTTCAGTCTCCCCCGTTAAAAAGCCAGGAGTACAGCTATAGCCACACAAATGGTTTCATTTCTAAATGCTACTCATCAATCTATGTTCCTCTAAAGCCCACTGCCTGTGGCTTTACGGACCTCGTCTGGCCCTGCACTGGAGGGGAGATCAGAGGCTAGTGCTGAGAACCAGAACTGCTCCTTCTGTGAACACCTGGACAGACAAGGGCAGGAAAGATCTGAGCCTAGCATCACCCACCGCAGGGTGCGATGGCACTGGTCCTTACCTACCACACTCCCCATGGGATTCCCCGTAGTCTCTCCTGCTCCTCTGCTTCAGGTGGGGAGGCTGATGAGACTGTGGGTCTCCACTGGGCACCGGGGCATGCTACAGCAACAGGACGCCATCTGCGTGCTTGCCAGCACCCGAAAGCCTCACACTGTGAACGGAACTGATTTCAAAGTTATATGGAAAACTCTGGAAGATTCCAGAAGCAGAACTGGTTTTCAGGAGCATGGCCTTAAATGCCAAATATCAATCCGGGAGGCAAGATGGTGAGCTGCAAAACCACTTCTTCTAAGAACACACATTCTAACTTTGTCCAACTTTATACTGCAATTAAGCCAAGTCTGGTCTTCTGGGCACTGAACCAATCAGGAGAATGAGAAGGAAACTTCTCTAGTGGCATTCATGGGGTGGGGACAGCCCTGGTGTCCTCCATGTCCCATGCATCTCTGACAGGAAGGTGGATGCTCTAAGCAGTTGTCCATGAACCTGAGAACTCCCCTCCCTCCTGGAGTCCCAGGACCCATAATGCAAAGGCCCCTACTCTGGAGGAATCCTTGACTGGCCCTCAAGAACAAACAGACAGCACAGGGCTCTTTCACAACACCTCTCCCTGCCAGGCCTCCATTCTATCACAGTGACATTAGCCACTAACTCTATGTGGTTTTAGCACAGGGACACATGTGGGGTAAAGATTGCAAAAAAGCCTCTTGTTACGTGTCTTAATTACTATACTTCAAGTCACCAGCATGGCATAAACAGCATTAAACACACACACACACACACACAATCACACATGCATGCCCAGCTTACAGAACAGTATCTGCTGGTTTCAGGTTATTTTTGTATTTAACACAAGACAGCAGAGTACTTGAGTGTGTGTGTGTGTGTGTGTGTGTGTGTGTGTGTGGTGCTTTCTTTCTTTACATGTATATGTAGGGTTTTATATTAGCATATGCAATCCATTTTTACATGGTTACATAACAGCCCACCCTAATGATTTTCTCCCATTTCAATTTTCTAATTTGGAAGGACAGCCTCAGACAGCCACACTCTCGGCTTGGACCTTTAACTGTTTCTGATGTCTGTGGGCTTGCCAATATTTCTAGCGATGTTGGACTCCCTGAAGCCACTTAGTATCAGATAACCCTAAGTGAGGTTACCAGACAGCCTGGAGTCTGCGGGACGGGCCAGGCTGGCCCAGGTGCCACCGTCTCTGCCACGTGGTGAGAGGAACAGACACAACTCTGCCCCATCATGGTCTGCCTGTGTTTCTGGTTCCCTGATTGCCTCTCCTTCCCTGAGTCCTCAGCCCCCACCCATTCACGCAGATCATCTTTTTCTGTCTTCCCCTCTTGGGGAATTTTTCTTTTCTTCTTAATTTCTGGCATTTCAAACAAATGCATACAAATCTCAGACGACGGGCAAACAAGTGACCAAATTCAGATGTTCTCCTGTACCCCAGCCCCTGTGTGACTTTAGTATCCCGGGCACCATGAAGTCCCGTATCTGCAGTTCCACCTGCATGCTTCCTGCTACTTTATGCTACTATCACACTTAAAGATTCCTAGAAATTCTTTAATGTCAAATCCCTGAGCAGTGTCATTGCTGTTTAGACGTCTGCGAGAGTCTGGTGTAGACTAGTGTACACATGGTACAGGGTCATTGTTCCTGTCTGCTTTGCAGTAATACTTTGTTATATAAATCTACTGCCTTTACTCATCTCATCATTTCCCTTTTTTTTGGGGGGGGGGGAATAGGTATTAATTTTTCTGTCAGCAAGGAAAGTCATAGGTTCTGTTACAGCATCTTCATCCATACAGGAAACCCGTCTCTCTACCTGCAGATCATTCCACAGACATCTTGTTTTCCCAAGCACATCTTGCTGACTTCAGCCTCATTGTGCTTAGTACTTTTCTCTACCTGTGTCCACCAAGGGTGGGGTTGTTAAACTAGGCTTGGGGGCTTCTTCTAAGGACAGCAAGAATCCTCACTGGTTCCCATAGGCAGCCTCCTCGTGGGCAGAAATTCCACTGGTGTCTGATGATCTATAATACTTCATTTCCACCCGCCCATCATTAGGGGAACTTTCCTTCACCCATCGCTTGTGGCTTCGAACCATTTGATACAGTTCAGGTGCAGGTCAAGCTATGCCTGCTGCCTTGCCCCATTTTTCAGAAGGGTAAGTTGATCCCTGTGTCTTTAAGGGCATGGAGGGCTGATGTGGGAGTGTCATATATCAATCTGTTGATTTCATTGGTTAAGCAATAAAGAAACTGCTTGGTCCTCATAGGTTAAAACATAGGTGGGAGGAGTAAACAGAACAGAAGGCTGGGAGAAAGAAGCTGAGTCAGGAGTCGCCATGATTCTCCCAATCCAGACAGACGCAGGTTAAGATCATTCCTGGTAAGCCAGCTCGTGGGCTACAACAGATTATTAGAAATGGGCTAGTCCAGGTGCGAGAGCTAGCCTAAAAGAGGGCTAAAATAAAAATGGGCTAAGCGGTGTTTAAAAAAATACAGTTTCCGTGTAATTATTTCGGGTAAAGCTAGCCGTGGGGGTGGCCGGGTGCCGGGGACACAGCCCGCCGCCCTTATTTCAACAGAGGGCTGTATGAATAGCCCTTTTTCTTCCAATCATTTATGAACTAATCACTTTAAAGACATTTGATTCTTAACCATGTACACAGTGCTGCTTCCTTTCCCAGTGAGAGACTCTTCAAACCAACGCTTCAACTTTTTGATATGATCCAGGGGGATTTTAGATGGCCTGCCTGTCTTTCTGAAGTGACAAAGTGTTCCAGGATGTGCTTGTATGTTTTCTGCTTTATTTATTTGCCTATTAATTTTTTTCTTTTTACATAAGAAAGGGTGTTTGAAGCAAAAATCTAGGCATAAATCACAAGCATTGCTATTATGTCAACTAGATGATACTTCGCTTTCTTAAAAGAGAGTTATCAGAAGTCACTGCTGATGTTCCAGAGAAGGAATGCAGAGCTTTGCCCAATATTGTCATTTCTTATCATGTTCATCTCCTTTCTCTACTACAAAATAAATAAATAAATAAATAAATAAGCCTTGCATTCTAATGGCATCAGCACATCCAATGGTGTGCTTCTAAGAACAGCATAAGGTTTTATTTTATATTTGATCTAATAGGTATATCCTCATAGATACTAAGCCGAATCACTGTATTTTAAAACCGTTTGATGTGTTTCCCCCAACGTGCTACCTACACAGTAAGTTTATTTGTTTCGATTTTGATATGTTTGTTTGTCTACTGAGGCTAGGAGCAGAACCCAGGTCTATTCACGCTAAGCAAAACGCTCAATTCTAGGCTAAATCCTAAGTGTCCCCATTTGTTTCACTTCACTGGGACAAATGGCTCCTCGGTTTTCCAGATCTGATGTTTTTCTACCTTGTTGTTTGAGGCTATTTGTTTGTTTCCCAACCACCCTGACTCGAAATGATCACACGGAAACTATATTATTTGCAATACTGTTTGGCCAATAGCTTAAGCATATTGCTAGCTAGTTCATATATTCTAAACTAACCCATCTCCATTAATCTGTGCAGCACCACAAAGTTTCAGTGGACCCCAGCAGAGGTGTCTGTCCCCAGCCACAGCTACATGGCTTCTCTTTAACTCTGCCTACTCTTTCTACATATCTCTTCCAGCCTGGCTATATTCTGTTAAGCCACTGACCGAAAGCAGCTTCTTTATTCATTAACCAATAAAAGCAACAGATAGACAGAAGGACTTCCCACACCATTTCCCCTTTTCTGTTTAAATAAAAAGAAAGGTTTTAACTTTAACATAGTAATATTATATATAACCAAACAGGTATCAACCAAGAATAATAGTTGCAATATTTATATCTACTTTATCTTTTATCATAACTAAGGAAAACTATAATTACAACTATATATTCTTCAACTCCATAAAAGACTCCAGAAGGAAATAACACTACCTAAATTAACAGGAAGTACATTATAAGCAACTTTCAAAACTCTAGAATTGACAGAGACATCTCACTGCCTGGACAGTCACCCAAAGTTCTTCTGTAACATTGGGGCATCCGATCTTCAGCCTGGAGGCCCATAGAATCTGGCAGACTTTTCCATGAAGCAGAAAATGCAAAGATCTATTCTGCCTTGTAATGACAAAGTCCATCAATTACTTTCTTCTGTGTCTTGTAGAATGTTTTATGGAGCAGGAACCCCGAAGGACCATCTCACCTTTAGGCAAATTCAGCTGTCATTTTTTGTGCATCCTTCATGTACAGTTTATACAGCATAACATCAAGCAGTCCAGGCAAGAGCAGTTCCTTGCCCAAATGACTAACAAACTCCATAAAGAGCCTCTTCAATGCCCATCTTCCTTTTGAAATAGATTGGTGCTGCCAGGAGCAGATGTGTCTCATTGTCATTAAAAGTCTAAGTTCTTAAAACATTTTAAATGTCATATTCTGAAGGTCTCTGAAAGATTTGAAAAATGCCTATCTAACTGAAATATATCTTTATATCTAGAAAATCTAACTAACATGACTAGAAGCTTGACTATTATAGATGATTATCTATTAACCTATATTTCTTAATTATACATTACATTTTTAAATGAGCTGCACAAACACAATACCTTAATCAAGAGAAGAAATATATATGTAACAAAATTGAACTAAAATTTGTATTGATAGACCAAAATCCATACCAATGCAAATTATTAATCTCTATAGCATATCCCCCTTTAAATGTAAACAAACATTTATAAACAATCCTTTAGGGAATCTGGGCATAGTTCTCTCCAACTGCTTCCTGCTTTATGTTGGGCAAGGTATTTGGGGATTCACAGAGACCTTTTGAGGGGGTCTTGGTCCATCAAACCACTTTAGTCTGGAAGGGTTCCGCAGAGTCTCATCCTCTGTGGACACAAAAGAACCATTTTTCCAAAGCAAGAAATCTTTAGATCCAAAGATTGGAGTCATAATACTTTTAAAATACATATGTTGGTTTAGCTTAGCAGCCCATACTCAGTCAAAAAATTCAAAGAAAACACATAATAATATACATAATCCAGACTCTCTTACGTAGCTTATTTTTCTTATGCTATTACTTTTTCTACAGGTTTAATATTTATTTTATTATCTTTACTCCTTTAATCTATGAC